AATGGGGGCAGCGCTGAGGGGCGGGGCCAGACGAGGCCACGCCCCTCCTCCCCGCGGCAAAGCCACGCCTTTATTCTAATGAGGGGCGGGGAGACGCCCCCGCGGGGGATGATGGGAGGGGTAGGAGGATGGGTTTGGGTTGTGTGCGCGTGCGTTCTGGGAAATACGGTAGAGCGGCTCGCGCCGGGGGGAGGCGTGGCGCGCGTGGGCGCGCGTGCGCACTGAGGATTACGGTAATCACGGAGCTGCGGCGCACGCACGTAATTACGGTCGTTTCAAGGCGCGCATGCGCACTTGGAAACACGGTAGTTTCGTGGAGCGCACTTAGAATTCCGGTAGTTATCTTCCGATGCGCGCTCGGAAATACGGTGATTATGTTGGATGCGCATCAGGAAATACGGTAGTAGTGTGGTGATGCTCGCTTTGAAATGCGGTAGCTGTGTCGGGCAAGGGCACCTGCGATTACGGTACTTGCGGTGCCCATTGGAAAATACGGTACTTGTGCGCATGCGCGTTTGGAAACATCGTAGTCCTGGTGCGCCGTTGGAATTACGGTAGTTGTGGTGCGCATGCGGAGATAAGACATTGGCGCCATACACTCTTGGAAATACGGTAGTCGTGGCGCGCAGGCGCGTTTGGAACAGGTAGTGAGGTGCGCATGCGCACTGGAAAACACTGGAATTACGGCACTTGGGATGTGATGCGCGTTTGTAATTACGGTAGCTCTGCTTGTATGCGCATATGCAATTACGGTAGTTGTGATGCGCAAGAATATTTGGAAATGCGGTGGCTGTGGATGCCCATTTGGAATTACGGTATCGTGGTGCGGCGCGCTTTTGGAGCTACGGTAGTGGATGCGCGCATGCGCATTTGTAAATACGGTACTTGCATGCCGCTCATTTGGAACCACATCTGGTGTGCGCATGCGCTCTTGGAAACACGGTAATTGTACCAAGCACAGTGGACGTTACGGTACTTAAGGTGCGCATGCGCATCTCCAGGTACGGTAATCCTGTGATGCGCAATCAGAATTATTGTAGTTGTATGCGCATGCGCATGTGTAATTACGGTAACCGTGTGATGCGCAACCAGACTACGTTACTGTCAGTGCGCATGCGCGCGATGGAATTACGGTACCGGCGCCATGCGCACATTAAAAATCCGGTATTTATTTTGCACATGCGCATTTGAAAACACGGCGGGCGCACTGCGCATGCGCGCTAGGAATTACGGTACTGGCGTATTGCGCATCTAGAAAAAATTACGGTACCCGCGCCGCGCACAGACATTTGTAAATACGGTAATCCCGTATTTCCCGAGGCGCAGCAAGGTGAGGAGAGGGGAGGAACACTCTGGGGAGCTGCCGCGGGCGCTCTGTGCGTGTTGTGTGTGCATTTGGGGGTCCCCCAGCACCCCGGGACTCAGAGGTCCCCCGGGACCTTCACCCCACGGTGGCTCCGTGTGGCCCCTGAGCCCCCCCGGGGTTTGTGACACTCCCCACTCCCCACCCTCCATGTCCCCCAGCACCCCAAAATACCCCGATGTCCCCTTTGGGATCCCCGTTCCCCGCTGTCCCCATCCCCTGTATCCCCACACTCCCTGTCCCCCATCCACATCCATGTTCCCATTCCCTCCCTGGTGTCTTTGGGATGAGGATGGAGACCCCAGGCTGGGAGGCTCCAACCCCTCTGGGGACCCCCAGGTGTGTTCAACCTGAAATTTGTCCGCTCCAAACTTTTCCTTCCATCCCACCACCTCTTCCTGCTGCTCCATCAGATATTCCCTCACTGTGATGTCCATCAACATAGCCCAAAACCCCCAGACACCCCGAGGATGAAGCCCAAAATATTTTTGGGAGGATGAAGGACAGCTGGCCAGGGTGACAACTGAGTTGAGGACATCACGAGACCTTGGGAGCAGCTTTCACAGCATGGCCAGAACTTCGGGAATTCAATTTGTCAGGAGGGGACAAGTTCGGTCACGGTGCGAAACCAACCACAAAACCCTTTTATTCCCTTTCCAGCCTTGGCATAATCCCTGACTTGCAATTTTTCCAGGAATTTGGCCGGCTGTCCTGCCGGCTGTCTCAGCAGGATCGGCGGCTCCGCCATGCCCGGGGCTCCGGGTGCTGCTCACATGTTCTTTTTTCCACGGCTGTGAGAGCTTCCTCACGTCCAACCCGTGGTTTTTTTGGGAGCAGAAGGACCCAAACCCAGTCAGGTTTTCTCTTCTGAGCTCCTTTGGGACGTGCATGGAGCGGGATGGAGGCTGAGAGAGGGTGAGTCAGTAAAATTTTGGTGTTTTCCTGGGCTTATTCTCCTTTTCCTGTTGCTCTTTAGTTTTGGAAACATTTCATTTTGGGCTGGTGAATTTTGTGGGGGTTTTTTGTTGTTTTTTTTTAAATTTATTAAATTCTGATTTATACAGAATAAAAGAGCAGCTTTGTCCTTTTCTCTAAGCACCCTGATCCGAGAAAGGCCATTCCATCAGCAAATCATGGAATGGTTTGGCTTGGACGGGAATTTCGAGTTCCACCCCCCTGCCATGGGCAGGGACACCTCCCACTACCCCAGGTTGTTCCAAGCCCCGTCCAGCCTGGCCTTGGACACGTCCAGGGGGAAATCAGGATGTCTCTGAGGGGTGTGATGTGGCTCTTTGGGACGTGGTCAAGGTCCCATCCAAGCCAAAACCATTCCATGGTTCTATTCCTGCACCCAGCCTCTCTTTGTTCAACCTGGAGCTTTTCAGGGAAGCTCCAAGCTAATTTCTCTGACTTTTAAACCTTGATTAAACACGAGATGCCAACAACTCAAGCCCGTGAATTTCTGCTCTCTCCATCACCATGGAAACGCGAGACTGTTGTCTTTTAATATTTTAAAGTTATATAAAGGCTTGGAACAAATCTGAAAACCCCCAACGATGGAACAAGAGGAGGAGAGGAAAAAATAAATCCACTTTTCCATCAAGGAAACGGTGGAAATGGATGGTCTTGAAGATCTCTCCCAACCCAAACCATTCCATGATTCTTGTTTGCTGCACATGCTGGGAATAAAATCCAATCCCATTTATTCCACTGCGTCTCCACAGCCCAAATCTTTGAGTGCTGGTGTTTTAATCCCATCGTTTAACACGTTGTTCCCTCTCCGTTCCCCCTGGCTTGTTGCAAATCCAACCTTAAGGAATGAAGTTGGAGAACAAGACTCGTTCAGGACCGGAGAGCATTTTGTTGGGATGATTTTTTTCTGCGTCGGTGAATTTGATTTCCCAGCTCTCCCGATATTCCCAAAACTCTGGATAGTTTGTAAATTCATATAAAATCTTAATTCCTGTTTGCTTGGCTTCTCCAAAAGGTGTCCGTGTCCAGCTGGGAAATTGGGAAGTGTTGTTGTCCCACCTGGGAGCGGGAGCCACAGGAATTCAGCCACCAGTCACAAAGTCCTCTTGAGTAACACCGGATTTTGGGTGTGGAAAATATAATTTCAGTCCTGGAGAGGCTGTACGTGAGTCCTCTCCTGGTTCTTGAGCAATCTTCCCAGGAATAACAAAACCTGGGAGGGAGGAGAGGAAGGCACGGAGCGTCCTGGTGTGCGCAGGCCAAAGGAGGCCCAGGAAGAAACCCGGATAATTCCCTTTAAAGAGTTTCCCTGTTGAGATGAGGGTTGTGCTCCTAAATCCTTACGGAATGGTTTGGGTTGGGAAGGGACCCTAAAGTGCACCTGATTCCATCCCCGATTATCCCAATCCCTTTGTTTGGGCAGTTTTTCTCCAGACAGGTGAATTCCGTGGTCGTGGGATTTGGTTTAGGCAGAGCTTCACTCCAGAGGCTTTTGCAGGGTGGAGGGAGTTGGAATCCCTTCCCGGGGTTGGATGCAGCCTCCAGGAGTAACGGGATGCTGACAGTGGGATCCTGGAGGGAAGGGATGTGGCCGATGGATTTTCTTCCTTTGTTTCCCGTGAGAAGTTTGATTAGCTTGAAATCGTTGGAAAAGGGCCTGGAGTGAGAGGACAAGGGGAATGGTTGAAACTGACAGAGGGAATTTGGGATATTGGGAAGGGATTCCTCCCTGTGAGGGTGGTGAGGGGTTGGAATGGAATTCCCAGAGAATCTGTGCCTGTCCCTGAATCCCTGGAAGTGTCCAAGGCCAGGTTGGATCAATCTGGGACAGTGACATGTTGGATTTAATGATCTGGATGGTCACTTCTCACCCAAACCATTCCACAATTCCTTAACCTCTGTGCTCTGAATTGCTCCAAACTTTCCATCCAGGTGGGGACAGGTAGGGCAGGAGGTGACACCACCCCAAATTGGTGTTCCAAGGACCCTGTGGATGGTGAATAGTGACGTGAAATTGGTGCAGAACTGAGGGGTCTGTGGCACCCAGCGGATTTGCTTTGGAAAATTGCAGAGTTTTTTTCTTGCTATCAACACATTTAGCAGCATTTTGCTTTTGTATCCTTGTCCCTCCCTGCTTTCTCACGAATTATGTTTCATCTTTCTTTGCCATTTCCCCCCCTTTTTTGGCAAAATTGAGTCTTTTCCCTTACTCCCTCTATTTTTGTGGGCTCATTGCTCAATCTTAAAAATTCCCTTAGGTGGAGTTTTTTAACCAGGTGCTTTCTCATCTATTTTTTGGCAGCCTTTCTCCCCCAGAAGGCCTTTGCTGGGTGTTTTGGTTTTGGCATTTATTCCCATTTATTCTGGTGGGGCTTTATGGATTTACTTAAAGCAGGAGGGTTTTGGGGGTTTTTTTATCTTTAGGAGGTTATTTTTCCTTCCCCATCTGCTTGTGGGGGTCTGTTGATGGATTTATCGATTTCAGCTGGTCCTGAGGGAGGGGGGTTGTTGTTGTTGTTGTTGTTGTTGTTGTTGTTGTTGTTGTTAATAATAATAATAATAATAATAATAATAATAATAATAATAATAATAATAAAATTAAAATTAAAAGCCCTGATTCCACAGGACCTGGAAAAGATGAGCAGCACTTTCACCTCCACACCAAAATGTTGTGAAATTAATTGTTTAAGTTGATTACAGTGCTGTCAAAGGCGCTAAGAAAAACTGGTTTAATATAAATTACATTACATTATATTACATGACATTACATTATATATTATATTATATTATATTCTATTACATTACATTACATTACATTACATTACATTACATTATATTATATTATATTATATTATATTATATTATATTATATTATATTATATTATATTATATTTTATCACTCAGAAGTTTGATGGGAAAGTCCACTCTACTAATTAAAATAATAACCTAGAATAATTATGGTTGGGAAAGACCTCCAAGATCGTCAGCTCACTGTGTGGATGAAGCATAAAAGGGAACATCAAATCAGAATTAATCTAAAATTATTTATGTGGATAATGAAGGTTTAAGGAAGCTTAGTGGAATTTTATCACGTGGTTATCATTGGCTTATTGTTGTTTTATCATTGGCTTATTGTTCTTGTCCATGAGGTGGTTCATTAGGATTGTCCATGATTAGAAGAGGCACTGAGCCGTAGGTTCCACATGGCAAAATTGGTTCTGCGTTTACTGTAAGGAATTTAAATCTTGGGATCAGCCACAAATTCCATAGGGGCGTAGAATTGTGGAATTGCTGAGGTTGGAAAAGCCCTCTGAGACTGAGTCCATCTCTCCCCAGCAGTGCCAAAGCCACTCTTGACCATGTCCCCAAGTGCCACATCCACACGGATGTTGATCCCTCTTAGGGATGGGGACACCACCGCTGCCCCATGCCAGGGCTGGACAACCCTTCTCGGGAAGGAGTTTTTCCTAATATCCAACTAAATATCCCCTGGCACAACTTGACACCATTTCTTTTTGTCCCTTGTCCCTTGGGAACAGAACCCAACCCCCACCTGTCTCCACCCTCCTGCCAGGAGGTCCCCTGGAGCCTCCTTTTGTCCAGGCTGAGCCCCCTCAGCTCCACTCTTTCTAGGCTCTCAAGATGATTCCATCTCCTCATCCGTAATTTTTCCAGTCTATGGTCACCAATCACTGAAGTTTCCGAAACAAATATTTCCAATACCACGGGAAGTTGTTTTCAAACAAACCCACCCTGGCCTTGTTCACTTCCAGGGATGGAAGGAAGGCACGGGGTGGTTTCTGCAGTAATTTCTTTGCCTTGGCCTCAGCGCAGGACACTGGAGATGCCTTGGACGGTGATGGTCCCTGTGGAAAAGACACCAGAGCCCCTTTGGTCAGTGCCTTACAGGTTATGGAATGGGGGCAGCAAAGTCAGTGCTGAACCCATGGAAAGGAAAATCACATTTTTCCCACTTCCTTTCTTTCCTCTTACTTTCTCCGCTGCCTCCAGAATTCCTTTCTGTTTCTCCTTATGCACCGGGAGTGGTGTTGGGGAAGAAGGTTGGTCAAGACTGTTCTGACAGCAGCAGATTTCATCCGAGCCCCATGTGGATGAGCACAACCGTACCCAACCCTTGATTTGTGCCATGTTTTGGAAAAGAGAAAATTACACCAGTTGTTTTTTGGGTGGAAATATTTCCCTGAATAAGTCTTGGCACCTTGGAGGGTCACGTCTCTGCTGGGATGAGTGGCTTGGCCAGACTGGAAAGAGGTTGAACACCAAACCCAAGGCCTGCTGGCACTTTTGGACAATTGACATCTGGATTCAGGCCATGAGAGGTTGGAGCAGTCTTGGGAGAAGAAAGAAAAAGGAGTCACCTGAGGCTATGATGCAGGAAAACTTTATTGAAGCCAAAAATAAATTAAAAATAAAAAAAAAAAAGCAGGAGAATTAAATAAAATGGAGCTGGCCTGAGGTGCAACAGGACAACCATAAGCACAGATCCTTTGCTTGCAGTCGGTCTGGCCAGAGCATTAAGGCCTTCCTGCCCCACAGTGGGAGCAGCTCAGAAGAGGTTACCCAAAGGTCCCTGGATTGAGAGAAGGGGTTTGCAGCAGAGGGAGCCAAAGGGGCGAGGCAGAGCAGGGAGTGGGAGAAGAGCAGGAGGCAGATGGGCCATGTTTGCAGGGCAGCCTAGGTTGGCCTCTTGGCTACTGCCTTGCTTGGTGCCCTGAGAGCAGGAGCTGGAAGCTCTGAGTCCATCTGAGAGCCTTGGACCAGAGAGGTGTCCTCAATGCCTGAGATGTGTTCCAGGGAGCTGGTGGTTGGTGTCAGGGTTGCTGCTGAGGGCCCTTAGCAGTTGTAGCCACCCCTTCTGCCATAGCAGCCCAGGCCTCCCAGCCCATAGCCACAGCCCAGCCCGTAGCCAAATCCACGGCCATAGCCAAAGCCACCAAAGCCACCAAATCCACCCGAGATGGGCTGTCCCTGCACACTGAGTTCAGTGCCCACGGCAGCCGAGGAGGTGGATCCGACGGCGGTGTTCTGGGGGAAGGAGGTCATGATGGGTCCTGGCAGGGTGACCAGCACAGGAGAAGGCTGGATAACGACACGGGAATCCTGGCATTGCAGGGCACAGGGCTCGTTGCAGCTGTTGGCCAGCGGGGTGGGTCCGCAGGGACGGCAGATGTTGTTGCAGGCCATGGGTGTGGTGCAGAGGGTCCCTGGAAAAGTGGAGGCTGAGGCAGGGCAGGGGTGAGGGGTGCAAAGGGTGGTGATGCAGGGGGGTGAGGGAGTGTGGAGGCTGTTGTGGGGTTGTGGGGAGATATGAGGGCTGCTGAGGCTGGGGCCGAGCGTGCTGGAATGGAGAGGCCAGGGATGCAGGAGCAGGAGGGTCAGGGGTTTGAGGCTCACCTGGTTGTTAGCAGGAGCAGGAGGAGAAGGTGTGAGGAGAAGTGTGTGAGAGAGAGAGGCTCTGGGCTGGCTTTTATGCTGGTCCTGGAGGGGCGGGACAGCCTTGTCCCATGGCCTTGGGGCAGTTTTAGACAGCAGCTCTTTTGTGACTGGTGAGTCATGAGGTGGGGAGTGTTGTCCCTCCCACAATTTTGTAGTTTCGTGTCCCTGCTCTTGATGCTGTGTCCATTTGACCTTGGTGGCAATGTTAATAATTTCGTGTTTGGGAGGACGTGATTGTTCAATGTGTTTCAGGGAGGACTGAATAAACAACCAGAGCCCTGGAGATCTGCAATGTCATCAGTGAGGTCATTTTGTGGCACTTGTCTGCTGTGGTTTGTCGGTGCCTTGTGAAGACTGGGCTCCTCTTCTGTGCCACTGGGTGTCCATCAGTCATTGGGTTGCACCCAGGAATGCTGAGGGAGCTGCTGATGTCCTGGGGAGGTCACTCTGCAACAGCTTGGCAAGGTCCCAGTGCTTGAGATTTCTTTGTGATGGATGAACAAGAGCTCTTGGCCTTCTGTCTTGAATGGGATTGAAACAGGATCTGGAAAATGAGAGCGTGGTCAGGCTGAACTCGTTCCAATGTTTTGCTCCATTTGTATTTCTCAAATTTACGTGACAACATTCTCTGTCATTTGAAGTGTATTCCTTGACCTGGTTATGAAATCCAGTAAACAAACAACAAACTAGCGCCTGATCTCTTTTTGCCAGGGCTGTGACCTCAATTCCCTTATTCCGCATTCAAAACACAAGCTTTCATAACTTATTTTCTATAAATGTTAGTATTGTGTTCCTCTGAGCAAAACCTAATAATTACTAACGGACAGTCTGTGTGATTCTCTTCCCTCTTCTCTCATGCTTCTGACGTGTCTTTTTAAATTTTGTGATTCCACGTCCTTCTTTTGAGGCCACAACCTTGGTGGCAGCTTTTAATTCTTTTAATTCTTTTAATTCTTTTAATTCTTCTAATTCTTTTAATTCTTTTAATACCGACCAAATTCTGCTCTTGATGGGTCATGTCAGGGCAGGTTGAAGATGTGACCAAAACTTTGGACAGCTGGGGTGTCATCATTTAGGTCATCCCATGGCCCTCGTGTGCTGTGGTTTGTGGGCGTGTTGTGAAGAGCTGCTCCCAGTCTCTCTCAGCGCTGTCAGGCTGGTCTGAGCTTTCCAGCTGTTCCAAGTATCGGGTGTTGCCCCTTCGATCGCATTCCCTCCTTCACATTTCCCCAGTATGGCAAATTCTGACATTAAACCTTGTTTTTCGTGTTGATCATCCTCTTTGGGTTTCTTGGTACCCCTCTTAATTATAAGGTTTTGATATCCAGGGCATTTTAGGTCCTGACTTGGGCTGAGGTGTGAGGTCAGTTCTCTGGGCAATATCTGATTGTCAGAATGAGGATTTGGAGGTGGCACAGTGTTCTTGGAGATGAGCTTTCCATGATTCTCGACAACCGGACAAGTCTGAGTTGTGTCAGTGCCCAGTGTGGTGGCCTGAGAAAGGTCTGAAGGTCCAGAGGCTTGTGATCAGTGCCCCAAAGTCCAGATGGCAGTAAGTCCCCAGTGCTGTAGCCCAGGAGTTGGATCCTTTTGGCCAACACCGAATACCTGAGTGATCCTGGACATCTGCTGGAGCTCAGCAATAACAGCTCTAAACCCTGTTTCGTGTCAGGGGAGTCATCCCAGATGAGATAAAATGTCTGAGTGTCAGTTGGAACAGTTGTTTTCTTCTCTGAAAAAGCCTTTGTGGTTGTGGTGGAGAAGAAATGGAGCAGGAGTTGTCCCTGTACCATTGTGAGAACAGGGACCTCAAGTGTCCAGGGTAGGATCTGGAAAAGTGTTATGACCAAGTGAGGAGAGCTGACTCTTGCCATCTGTTTAGCACTGGCAAGGTCACCTGTGAGGGGTTGTGTACAGCCCTGGCCACTCCTGTGTGAAAATGAAGTTAATTTAGTGAATCAAGACCATTTCAGGGCCAGCAATATTCTAAAGGAGCATCTTTCCCAGAGGAGAGGCTGTGAGAGCTGGGACTCCCAGGGGACAAGGCTGGACAGGGCGGTGTCATCAGTGTCTGCAAATCCCTGATGGCAGAGAATAAATTTGAGGCAGCCTGGCTGCTCTCAGCAATGCACACATGGAGGACAAGAAGCCTTGGGCACAAGGGAAAACAGCTGGAATTCTGTGGGAAAAGAAAGCTAGAGTTTTCCAGTGTGTTGGACACAGGGGAAGAGGCGGTTGAGACTGCTGGGAGTGCAAAATATGAACTGTCCATGGTGCTGGAAACTCAGCTCTTGATGATTCTGCTTGAGCAGAAGGGAATGAAGCACTTGCATTCGAGTTCCTGCCCAAGTGGAAGATTTTATGACTGTTTGTTCAGAAGGCTTGAGAGTCTTGGGAAGAGACTTTATCAAGTGTGTGCTGGCCAAGAGAGACTTCAACAGAGCCATGAGCAGGAGAGCGTAAATGTGTCAAAACCTTTGGTATAGCAGGTGTTTGGCTTGTAAAATATTTTGGAAGATTCCCCCCTTCTCTGTTTCCTGTACAGGTCTTGTTTGTTACTGTTGGTGACACATTTCCTAGAGAAAAGTGTTGTGCCCTTTTTCCTTTCACCAACGTTGAGCCCGGGCACTGTGTGAGGTGAGGATGTGCGACCACTGGAATTCAAAAGGGAAGAGGAGGCATTTCAGGCTTTAATAAAGAAAAACTTTATTGAGGCAAAAGAGCGAAGAGACGGAAGAATGAAACAGAGGGGATCCAGTGTGAGGCGCAAGATGGGCGAAGATCAGCCCAGGTGCTTGACTTGCAGGAGATGTTGTCAGAATCCCAACCTGGTGGTGTCAGGGGTGGTGCTGAGGACCCTTAGCAGATGTAGCCACCCCTTCTGCCATAGCAGCCCAGGCCTCCCAGCCCGTAGCCAAATCCACGGCCATAGCCAAGGCCATAGCCAAAGCCACCAAATCCACCCGAGATGGGCTGTCCCTGCACACTGAGTTCAGTGCCAACGGCAGCTGAGGAGGTGGATCCGACGACGGTGTTCTGGGGGAAGGAGGTCATGATGGGTCCTGGCAGGGTGACCAGCACAGGGGAAGGGTCAATGATAACACGGGAATCCTGGCATTGCAGGGCACAGGGCTCGTTGCAGCTGTTGGCCAGCGGGGTGGGTCCGCAGGGACGGCAGATGTTGTTGCAGGCCATGGGTGTGGTGTGGAGGGTCCCTGGAAGAGAGGGGAGTGAGGCAGGATGGGTGTGTGGGGGTGCCAGGGGTGGTGATGCAGGAGGGTGAGGGAGTGTGGAGGCTGTTGTGGGGCTGTGGGGAGGTGTGAGGGCTGCTGAGGCTGGGGCCAAGCGGGCTGGAAGAGGGCCCAGGGATGCAGGAGCAGGAGGGTCAGGGGTTTGAGGCTCACCTGGTTGTCAGCAGGAGCAGAAGGAGAAGGCGTGAGGAGAAGTGTGTGAGGGAGAGAGGCTCTGGGCCGGCTTTTATGCTGGTCCTGGAGGGGCGGGACAGCCGTGGGGCATTTTTTAGGCAGCAGCTCTTTGCTGGCCCAGCCTGATGAGTCCTGAGGTGGAGAGTGTTTTCCTTCCTGATATTCTGCAGTTTCATGTTCTTCCCTTGAGGCAGTGTCCATCTGACCTTGGCAGCACCTCTTAATTGCCAGAATTAGAGACCAGTGTGTGGTTGTTGATGGCGTGTGTCAGGACACATAGAAGATTCAGCCAAAGCTGAGGAGAACTCAGCCAAAGCTGAGGTGTCATCCAAGGTCATTCTATGACATACTGAGAATGTGTCACATTTGCATTTTTGCCTCCTGCTTGAAAGAACTCCCAGCTCTCTCATCTTCTCCCCATTTTAAGGACAGTCCAGACCAAAACCCTGTGGGCCCTGTCATTCAAGTCCTCCTCATGCCACCATGCTGGACACCTGGACTTGCCTGGGTAGTTGAGGATCATGCAGTACTCACCTCCAAAAACCCTGGGCAACTTCCAAATCCTCTTTCTGACAATCAGACATTGCCCAGAGAAGTGATCTCGCTCCTTGACACTCAGCCCAAGTAAAGATCCAAAAGACCACATCCAAATCTTTACAGACAAGAGGAACACCAAGACACTCTCTGAGCATGACCAATGGTAAAGGAGATATCTCCAGTCTGGCTTTGACAGCTGGTAAAATTGCATGGAGAGAGGGAATGGGGTGGAAGGGGCAACACTGGATACTTGGAACAGCTGCAAAGCCCAGACCAGCTGGTCAGGGCTGAGAGAGGCTGGGGGCAACTCTTCACAAAACACCACAAAGTGAAAAAATGCCAAGACAGTGCCACAGGGTGGCTTTATTAATGACACCTCAGTTCTCCAAAGCTTAGGTCAAGTCTTCATCCTGCATGCACAACACCAGAATTTGGTCTCTAAAATGCACACTGAAAGGCTGCCACCAAGGGGAGATGGACACAGGCTTAAGAGAAAGATGTGAATTCCACAAAGAAATTCCAGAATAATGTCAGAAAAGGAAAGAGGAGGTTGTTGACCAACCGTTAGTAATTAATGCTTATTTGCTAAGAAGAACATAATACTAAGACTTGAAGGATATAAGTTACAAAACCTTATGGCTTGAATGCGGAATAGATGACTTGATGTCACAGACCAGCCTGAGAAAAAAGGGATGGGCCCTGTTTGTTGTTTATTTCTTAGAATTCTGAATGAGGACAATAAATACATTCTAAATGACAGATTAGGCTGTCACGTAAATTTAGGAAATCCAAATGGACCATAACACTGTAACAAGTTCAGCCTGAACAGCCTTGTGTTTCCCAGATCCTCTCCCTTGATCCCACTCAGGACAGAAGGCCAAGAGCTCTCTTTCATACATCAGGAAACACTCGCAGGAACCGGGATCTTACCAAGTTATTACAGAGTGACCTCCCCAGGACATCAGCAGCTCCCTCAGCATTCCTGGGTGCAGCACAACGGGTGATGGACTTCCAGTAGTGCTGAAGAGGGGCCCAGACTCCACAAGGCACCCACAAACCACAGCACAGGAGTGCCACAAAATGACCTCACTGATGACATTGCAAACCTCCAGGGCTCTGGTTTCATATTCAGCCTACCCTGAAACACATTGAACAATCAAATCCTCCCAAATACCAACTCATGAAAGCTGCCGCCAAGGTCAGCTGGACATGGCCTCAAGAGCTGGACATGGAATTGCAGAATTGCATGAAGGAGAACACTCCCCGCCTCATGACTCACCAGGCTGGGCTAAGCAAAAGCTGCTGCCTAAAAATGCCCCAAGGCCATGGGACAAGGCTGTCCCGCCCCTCCAGGACCAGCATAAAAGCTCTGAGAGCCTCTCTCTCACACACACTTGTCCTCACGCACTTCTCCTGCTCCTGCTAACAACCAGGTGAGTCTCAAACCCCTGACCCTCCTGCTCCTGCATCCCTGGCCCCTTTTCCAGCCCGCTTGGCCCCAGCCTCATCAGCCCTCACACCTCCCCACAGCCCCACAACAGCCTCCACACTCTCTCACCCTCCTGCATCACCACCCCTGGCACCCCCACACACCCATCCTGCCTCACACCTCTCTTCCAGGAATCCTCCACACCACACCATGGCCTGCAACAGCCTCTGCCGTCCCTGCGGACCCACCCCGCTGGCCAACAGCTGCAACGAGCCCTGTGCCCTGCAATGCCAGGATTCCCGTGTCGTTATCCAGCCTTCCCCTGTGCAGGTCACCCTGCCAGGACCCATCATGACCTCCTTCCCCCAGAACACCGCCGTCGGATCCACCTCCTCGGCTGCCGTGGGCACTGAACTCAGTGTGCAGGGACAGCCCATCTCTGGTGGATTTGGTGGCTTTGGTGGATTTGGTGGCTTTGGCTATGGCCGTGGATTTGGCTACGGGCTGGGCTGTGGCTATGGGCTGGGAGGCCTGGGCTGCTACGGCAGAAGGGGTGGCTACATCTGCTAAGGGCTCTCAGCAGCAACCCTGACACCAACCACCAGTTCCCTGGAACACATCTTAGGCATTGAGGACACCTCTCTGGTCCAAGGCTCTCAGATGGACTCAGCGCTTCCAGCTTCTGCTCTCAGGGCACCAAGCAAGGCAGCAGACAGGGGTCCAGCCCAGGCTGCCTGCAATCATGGCCCATGTGCCTCCTGCTCTTCTTCCACTCCCTGTTCTGCATGGCTCCTTTAGTTCTGTCCAGCTCCCTCTGGACAAACACGTTCTCCTGAGCCGGAGACCTTCGGGCAGCTCTGCTGGGCTACTCCCATTGCAGGGCAGGAAGTTCTTGATGCTCTGGCCAAAGCTTCTCAAAGGATGGGCCTTGGCTGATGGTCACCCTGATCATAACCCAGAACAAGTCCCTTCCACTGTTCCTGAGTTTTCACTCTTCTACCTCAATAAAGTTTTCTTGCATCACAACCTCATATGACTCCTCATTTTTTTCTCCCAAGCTTCTTCCAGTCTCACTCAGCTGTAAGCCAGGGTTGTAGAGGCCAGTTGGGGTGGGTGAAAAAGCATACCAAGACCACTCTTAGGTGTTATTTCTGCAGTACCTCTACTCACTGCCACACTTTGCTCTTCCAGTGCATTATTGCACAAGCCCTTCAGCTATTGAAACACAAAGCTGGATACACTAATGCAGGTCTGTCCTTGCCTCTGGAACAAACCCCTCCTGGGTGGTGTGTTTAATTTTTCTGGACATATGTTGGTTGCTGCTGCCTGTCATTGTCCTCCAGGACTATCTCCAGCTCTGGTTGGGCAGATCTGTGTCTTCCTTGTTTTCAGGTCCTAGAGCTGAACACGCATCCCCAGTCTCACCAGGGTGGAACAGAGGAGAAGGATCCCCCCTCACCTGCTGCCCACACTGTGGAGATAAGCCCAGGACACAGGGGGTTTCTGTTTGGTGTGTTAACATGGCAGGGCATGTCCAACACTTCATTCATCACCACCCCATCCTCCTTGGGCTCAATCCCCTCATCACCCAGGCTTTATCCTGCATGTTTGGGATTGCTGCAATCCAGGTGCAGCAGATTCTGCTTCTCTGATCTGCTCTGATGATATTGGAGAACTCTGTTAATCTCTGGGTTACTGGGAGTAAGGAAGACAAGACTGTCGGAGGATATCCAGAGCATGGCCTCAAGGATGGAGGCTGAAGGTTTGGGACAGCCATTGTCCATGATATTGGGGCATTTTTCAGGCTAGCTGCTCTTGCCTGGCACAGCCTGGTGAGTCATGAGGTTGGGAACATTTTGCTTCCCACAGCTCTGCAATTCCATATCCTGCTCTTCAGGCTGTTCCCATTTTACCTTGGCAGCAGCTTTGATGAGTTGGTATTCATTCCAACATTGGTGGACGAGGAAAGAAGTGCCAGTATCCTGTACCTGGTCTTCTTCAGGTCCTTTGTTCCTGTACCAGACATCATCCTTGTCTCTGACCTGGAGAGATGTGGATATTGGTTGGACTATTTGGTGGATAGGGAATGGATGGAATGGTCTCACTCCAAGAGTTGTGGTCAATGGCTCCATGTCCCTGTGTGGAGAGCGGGGATGAGTGGTGGTCATTCGAGACTCATGTTGGGATTATTAAAATTTTGCAGCATGGTCAGAAATCTGGGTACTGGGATTTGGTGGGATGATCAGCAAAACCAGGGATCATTCCAAGCTGAATAGTGTGGTTGGTTGTCTGGAGGGAAGGGATGGCACTCAGAGGGGCTGGAACAGGTTGGGGATGTTGGATATTGTCAATCTCATGAAGCTGATGAAGGCCAAGTGCAAGGTCCTGCATCTGGTTTAGAACAACGGCAAACACGGCTGTAGATTGGATGATAAGTGGATTGAGAGCAGCCCAGAGGAGAAAGATCTGGAGTGTTGGTATATGAAGAAGTAGACATGCCCCACCACATGAATGAGCTGACCAGAAAAACCCTGTGTCCTGGGGGCATGCCCAAGGCATGGGCAGAAAGTGATGGGAGGGATTCTGCCCCTCTGCTCTGGTCAGGGTAGACTGGAGTTGTGTGTTCAATTCTGGGACCTGAAAATAAGTGAGACACGAAGAAGCTCAAGTGCATCTGTAAATGGGCCTGGAAGATTATGAGGGTCTGGAGCAACTGAAGCTCAGCCAAAATGAAGACACTGCCCATGAGTTGCTTGTGCCAGAATCAAGGATAGACCTGCATTATTGTATCCAGACCTGTGATTAAACAACAG